GGTCGGCACGGGGCCGGTTGGGGCCCTAGAGGGGCGAGCGCGGGGCCGATCGGGACCTGAGCGGGGCTAGCGCGGGGCCAAACGGGGCCTTGACGGGGCTAGCAAGGGGCCGACGGGGCCTGAACGGGGCTAGCGCGGGGCCGACGGGGCCTGAAACGGGGCCGACGGGGCCTGAAACAGGGCTAGCGCGGGCCCGATCGGGGCCTGAATGGGGCTAGCGCGGGGCCAACGGGGCCTGAGAGGGGCTAGCGCGGGGCCGACGGGGCCTGAAACGGGGCTAGCGCGGGCCGACGGGGCCTGAGAGGGGCTAGCGCGGGGCCGACGGGGCCTGAAACGGGGCCAACGGGGCCTGAAACGGGGCTAGCGCGGGCCGACGGGGCCTGAGAGGGGCTAGCGCGGGGCCGACGGGGCCTGAAACGGGGCCGACGGGGCCTGAAACGGGGCTAGCGCGGGCCGACGGAGCCTGAGAGGGGCTAGCGCGGGGCCGACGGGGCCTGAAACGGGGCCGACGGGGCCTGAACGGGGCTAGCGCGGGGCCTGAACGGGGCCTTAAAGGGGCCGACGGGGCCTGAACGGGGCCGCTAGGGAGAGCGGGCGTGGGGTCGACGGGGCCTGAACGGGGCTAGCGCGGGGCCGTCAAGAGGGGCCTCTAGGGGCGTGACACGCCGAGGCGCCCTAGGGCACAGGTAGGTAGGTAGGTAGGTAGTTACGTAGTGGTGGGCCCTTAGAAAATTTCGGTCCTAGGAAGGACCTGCTCTATACCATGTTGGAATCACTGAACAGGAATGAATGAACTAGCAGTGAAATGAGTACAAGTACCTAACCCTAGAATTGTGTACCCCTTATAGGCTAACCCACTGTAGCCTAAACTAACACAACATATATAATGTTTGACAGTGCAGCCGAGGGTTGAAGCTGCTAAGGAGAAGACAATGATGCAGAACTCGGCAAGCTTTGTAGCTGATGGGTTAATGGTGAAAGAAGAACCCATGGTGAAGCTGAGTTCGGGGGAAGCTAGACTTAAAGGGGAGCAGAAGAGTGCCTTCCCAAAATCTAGAGTTGGGATCGGCAACAAGATAGAGACGGTCGAGGGGGAGCAGATTGACAAGGGTGATATGGTCCCTATGCTAATGGTGGAAGCTGTGAAGAAAAATATCAAATCCACTGACGGTGATTGTGGGTTCAAATAGTCGGCAGGTTGAGGGGGAATTTGTTGACTGCAAAATGTGGTTTGCACGTCAACCTACCGCCTATTCGCTGACGATAAAGGAAAATGAGAGTTTTTATTTTAAGGTTAGTTTGTGAAGTGTGAGGAGCGCATTTGTGTGCTTTACATTTGTACATTTACGGTTTGTGAATCCCCTTAGCGGTTCATAAGTTATATGCATTTTTGTGTGTGTGTGTGTGTGTGTGTGTGTGTGTGTGTGTGTGTGTGTGTGTGTGTGTGTGTGTGTGTGTGTGTGTGTGTGTGTGTGTGTGTGTGTGTGTGTGTGTGTGTGTGTGTGTGTGTGTGTGTGTGTGTGTGTGTGTGTGTGTGTGTGTGTGTGTGTGTGTGTGTGTGTGTGTGTGTGTGTGTGTGTGTGTGTGTGTGTGTGTGTGTGTGTGTGTGTGTGTGTGTGTGTGTGTGTGTGTGTGTGTGTGTGTGTGTGTGTGTGTGTGTGTGTGTGTGTGTGTGTGTGTGTGTGTGTGTGTGTGTGTGTGTGTGTGTGTGTGTGTGTGTGTGTGTGTGTGTGTGTGTGTGTGTGTGTGTGTGTGCATTTCATGAATGTTCATGTGTTTCTGTGAAAGCGCAGGAAAGTTCGTGAGTTTCGGTAAGTTCGCGTGAGTTCGCGATTGTTTATGAATTTGCGTATGTGCTCATTGTTTCTCATGTGTTTTAGTGAGTTTTTATTAGAGTTCATGAGAGTTCATATTTTCTGTGCGTTTTAGAGAGTTGCGAGTGTTTTGCCACGTTGACTAAGTCGCGCTGGTCAAGGTCAACCGCGCGCGAAGGTCTGGACCCGCGCGTGGGGTTCTGACACACGCGTGTGGCCTCTCAGGGCTCGCGCGTGTGCTTCGGAACTGTTACGAGCGTGGCAGGGCCCACGATCGCATCAAGACAGGGCAAACTACTGCCCTGTCTCGCGCCAGGATAGCGCACGATCGCATACGCGATCGTCCTGTCCTGCATGACCGAGAAATATCTCGGTCATGCTGGCTGGCACGTGGGGAACTCGGGATTTACAGTTGAAAAACTGTATCCCGTGTTGACTTGGCAAACATGAGGTTTCGCCAGAAAGTCACGCCACATTGCGTGATCATTTCGACAAGGTACAAAACGGTAAATTCCGTTTTGCAACGGGAAAACGGTTTTCCCACACGAGGCTTCATGAATGTTAACGGGAAATCATGAGTGCTCGCGAAGGGAGTCAGCAGGGGCATTTGGATGAAGTGTCATTTGAAATCAGTTATTCTAATGAAGCGGATCAAGCCAAATGCAGTTGAGTTTGACAACCGTTTTACCAAGACAACATGGCGAAGTCCTAGATTACAGTTGTATAACTGTTTAATGTTTGCCTTGTCAAAACCTATATTTGTAACTGCCTGCAGCAGGAATATGTGCAGAATACAACCTGCAGGTGTACACATGCAAAATAATGAAAAGCAAGCAACAGCAGGTAATGCAGGCGGGCTGACACTAGCTGGTCACCCCCTCCATCTCCTCACCCTCCTCCTTCCCCTCCCCCACACTGCTGCAGGAGCAGCAGAGAAGGGGGGAAGAGAGGAGAGATGGAGGGACGGCTGCTTGTTGCCTCACACCCGCCACCCCGGTACCACTCCCCCTGCTCCCCCACACCCTCACACCCTCCCCCCCAGCGGCAGCTGCAGCGGTGGGACTGAAAGGAGGAGGAGGGGAAGGGAAAGAGTCGACCCAACACTCCAACACCCGCCACCCCCATACCCTCCTCCCCACGGCTGCAGGGAGACAAAAGAGGAGGGGGTGGGCGGGAAGAAAGCTGCAGAGCGGCTAAACGGTGTCGGCGCTGATAGGTCAGGGGCGGCTTCAGGGAGAGCAGGGGCGGAAAGGCCCGTCGCGTGCCACGGGGCGCACGACGGGTAAGTTCAAGTGAAAGGGCCCGATCGTGTGCCTCGGGGCGCACGACGAGCAGGGCACCGTCGCGTGCCACGGGGCGCACGACGGGCAGGTTAAGGGCACCGTCGCGTGCCACGGGGCGCGCGACGGGCAGAGAAGGCGTCACACGCCGACCGGGGGCGGGACAGGGAAAAATCGCCACGCGCCCTAGGCGCGCGACCGGAAAATCGTAGCAGCGGAAACGTGAGGCGGGCGCACAGGCCAGAACGAACGTCGTTCTGATACCATGTCAGAATCCCAACCACTAGACCATTGGGATAAAAGGGCTTGTTTCAGTAGCGGGTCAGTGCGCCCATAACCCCCCAGGCGAACGCGCCTGTAACCCTCTCCAGGATCAATCGGGCATCCACAGTGCAGATCTACTGACACCCCCCCACACTAGGAGGCCCAGGACTAAGCACAGCGGCAACGGCCTACATGTGCATACACCGGGAATCGAACCCGAGACCGCTCTGATACCATGTCAGAATCCCAACCACTAGACCATTGGGATAAAAAGGCTTAGTTCAGTAGCGGGTCAGTGCGCCCATAAGCGAACGCGCCTGTAACCCTCTCCAGGATCAATCGGGCATCCACAGTGCAGATCTACTGACACCCCCCCACACTAGGAGGCCCAGGACTAAGCACAGCGGCAACGGCCTACATGTGCATACACCGGGAATCGAACCCGAGACCGCTCTGATACCATGTCAGAATCCCAACCACTAGACCATTGGGATAAAAGGGCTTGTTTCAGTAGCGGGTCAGTGCGCCCATAACCCCCCAGGCAACCGCGCCTGTAACCCCCCCTAGGATCGATCGGGGATCTCATAGTGTAGCTCTACTGACACCCCCCGGTGTATGCACATGTAGGCCGTTGCCGCTGTGCTTAGTCCTGGGCCTCCTAGTGTGGGGGGGTGTCAGTAGATCTGCATCCACAGTGTGGCAACTATTTTCGACATGCCTTGTGTCTCCTTTGCTCGTCCATTAGACTTTCTATAAATGTGTGCTTGTATTTGATTGTAATCAACCTTTTGGTGCAACCCTTTCAAGTGAATGTTTTCTCTATCGACGTATTGACGCGAGGAGAAATTTCTGCATACGAGTCAATCAGTCGTTATTGCTTCCGCACATGAGTTTGGGAATGCTCTAAGAGCACACGGCGGTTTTCATACTTAGGGAATCCCTCTACAAACACGGACCCTTGGATAGGGGCTGGTTTTACCAGGCACCCAAGGACCCTTGGAGGTGACCCCGTGGGGACTACCTAGTGTGATTTAAAGGTGTGCTAAGTGCATCTAGATCCCATATAGCTGTCAACAACACTCTCATAAAAAAATTACCCCAGCACATCAGTGTAGACCCAAAATTTCACCCTTGTATTCAGTACAGAAGGGTAAATTACACTGCAAACCTGAGCCCTGGGGTCCGGGTAGATGTGCTCTGGTAAAAGATTTAACGAGTGTCATTAATAGTATCCCAAATTGATGTTACTTTTTTTTTTAATTTATCAAAGAGGTATGGAAAGGGTGAATTAGCATTGGGTGGGAGAGCAATTTGCATCCAATTAGCAAGTCCCCCAATCCTTGCATAGAATGTGAGATTAAGCTGCAGTAATTATCTCTAAACAATCTGAATATCGCAAGAGTCTCACGGCTTCATGCTATATTTCTTTACACTTCTTTCTCGCCACTGTCAGGCTGCTGAATTTACGTTTGACCAATGGAGCCGGTGGTGCCACCTTGCAAACGCACTGTGCCCTCCATATTAAAAAGCAAACAGTAAATTGAATAATTTAACAATAAATAAACTAAAAAATAAATGGACAGTGTAAGTACAAACCAGATTATCTAGTGACGCAGCAGATACCATGACTGTGTGATTGAAGTTACAAACCATGAAGTGTTGAGAGCACCTGCAGCAGCACTCTCTCATTGAGTGGCTTTTGCACGGCACCATCCATGCCAACCTCTGCTGCATGGGCGGCAACAGTGCTGTCCACATCTGCTGACATGGCCACCACATGAACGCGCTGCTGCCGCTGCCAGCCCCCAAACGCACCCCCCACCCCACTCTCCCCCACCATGGGCATGCACTGCACGTCTTGAGCCCCCTGCCCCTTGTGCACAGCCAGTGCTCCCCGCTCCCCCTGTGCCCCCTGCCCTCCTTGCACCCCTCTCTGAGCATTGTGAGCAGCAACCTCGAGAGCGCGCAGGCCGGCGGTGGTCTGGAAGCCATCGAGGCCGGGCATGAGGAGGTCCATGAGCACGAGGTGGAAGGAGTGGGTTGCCTGCAGCAGGCGCAGCGCCGCCTCGCCCGACTCTGCCAGCGCCACCTCCGCCCCGTACCGCGCCAGCGTGCTCGCTGCCACCACCTGGTGGATAGAGAGGGTACAGATAGGGATGCAGAGGGGCTGAGAATGGTTGATCAGATTGTCGTCCACCACCTGGCCACCACAAGGGGGTAGAGGGGGTGGTGAGGGGTGATAACGGTGCGATGGTTGATCAAGTTGTCGTCCACCACCTGGTAGCACAGGGGGGTAGAGGGGGGGTGGTGAGAGGGTGAAAATGGTGGGACGGTTGATGGCGTTATGGTCCATCACCTGGTGCACATAGGGGGTACAGGGGAGGGGGGGAGAGAGGGGATGAGAATGGAGGGACGACGATGGCGTTGTGGTCCACCACCTGGTGCATGGTGCAGGGGAGGATTGAGAGGGAGAGCTTGAGAGAGGGGTTGACAACGGAGGCGTGGTGGATGGAGCTGTGGTCCACCACGTGCCTGCACAGGCAGAGCGTGAGGAATGTAGGGAGGTGGACAGGGGATGAGCATGGAGGCACGGAGATGGCATGTGAAAAGGGAGAGGCGAAGGGCATACAAGCAGGGTGGAGAGGGGGTGAGAGCAGAGGAGATTGAAGGCGGAGAGGGAGACGGCCTGTGTCTCCTGCTTTGACGTGCATGAATCAGCTGCGTGGGGGGACATGAGGAAGAGCAGTCACACACAGGGGTGGTTGGGGAGGATCAGCAAGTGAGCACCACCAATCTTGCCATCAGCCATGTGTGGGAGGGCAGAGAACTGTTGCTTTGTAACGACGGGACAAGGAGAAGAGGGGTTGGGTTGTGGGGAGTGTGGTGAGGGATGCAGATACAACTGAGGTCAGTGTGAATCAATGCATGGAGAGAATCGGTGCATGGAGAGAATCGGTGCATGGAGAGAATCGGTGCCTGAAACAACCCTCACAAGCACACGAGAGTCCTTCCGGTTTAAGCTCTGCATCTCACCAGAATTGCCTTGCCCTGCAACAACTCCTTCAAACCATCCCTCGCACTCTTCGTCCCCACTGCTCTTGAGGCAGCTGCTTCGTCGTCCGCACAGATCGCCTGCGGCCCCGAAACATTGGCGCTGCCGGAACTGAAGCTACCGCACACAGCTGCGGCAGCAGTGGCAGCAGCAACAGGCATGGGCAGCGCGACGTGCAGGGTGGTGCCGTGACCCTCTGTGCTGAGCAGCCCTATGCTGCCCCCCATCAGCGATACCTGCCATGGGGGTGTGGGATTGTGTCACAGCAGACGAATTATTGTGGATGATTGTAAATGAAAGTCAGTGTGGCAGTGCTGTGAGAGGAAGTTTGAAGTAAAAATCACTCCGAGAGTTAACAAGTGCATGAAAGGACGACAAGAAAGCACCTGGTTGAACTGTCCACAGAATGACTCACCAGCTGCTGACACAAGTGCAGGCTTATGCCGCTGCCTCCGTGTGCACGGGTCTGATGGGTAGGTGTTGTGAGAAGCACGAGAATGCAATGGTCGGTGGACTGAGAAAGTCGCACGTGGATAGATGCTAGGCAGATTAAGCTGGCGACTGTGTGCCTCCTTATTGCGGCTACTTGAAAAATGGATGCTTTTTCGGAGTCAAATCCTCGGATAATCAAATCGAATGCATGGTTCACCTTAATCAGGTGTATGGCATGAGGTGGGTTGCATGCGGCGCAGGGCTCACCTGCATGAGGGGCAGGGCTCACCTGCATGAACGCCTGAAACACGTCGCGCTGCTCCTCCTCTGCGATGCCACACCCCGTGTCCTCACATGTCACCAGCACCACACACCGCCTGCCACCCCCCCCCTCCTCCTCCGTGCCCTCCTCTCTGCCCCGCCCATGCCACCACCTCTCAACTGCTCCCCTCCACCAGCCCATACCACCAACCCCTGGTGATGCCCTCTCTGCTGCATTTACAGCATGCCCACCACGCGCTCTTGTTCCCCGCAAACCAGTGCATGACCCCATGCCCCCACGCTCACCCTCCTCATCTCCCGTACCCCATGATGCAGCACTACCCTTGCCTTCGCTCAACTCACTGCAAACCCTCTCGCCTCTGCCTTGGCTTCCTACCTCACCACCGACCATTCTCCACCGTTCTCAACCCCATCCCGGTGACGGGTCACCCCCTTTAGTTCCTCCTGGCCTCTCGCCGGCCCCATCTCCCCCGCTTTGCTGATACGCACCACTTTGTTCCCTAGCGCTTGCCCTCATCGGGTTTCCTTCCCTTTCCTCCCCATCCTCCCTCTCCTCCCCCTCCTCCCTCTCATCCTTCTCCTTACTCTCCCCCCTCTGCTCACTTTCCTGCTCCTGCCCCCCCTCGTCAACGGGGGGCATGCGCCAGTAGCACCCGAGGCACTGCGCGGACAAGCCCCTCTGGAACACCCGTTTATTGCATGCGCCCGTCACCGCCCTCGCCAGCCCTCGCTGCCCCACCTGCTCCCAGAAGGACATCCTAAGCAGAGGCTCTCCCACTTCGTTCCCATGCACTCCCGCACTGGCAGCAGCGGCGGTGGCAACAGCAGCAAAGGCAGAATCGGCATTCGTAGCAGCAGCGGTGGTAGCCGCAGCAGCAGCGGCAGGCGAGGAGCAGCCGGAATTTTCTTCGGCAAGGAGGCAGCCGAGGGAGAGCAGGTGGGTGGGGATGTGGGTGTCGGGGGGAAGGCACTGCAGCCGCACACACACGCCTCCGCTGGCCGTGAACTTGATGGCGTTGTCTGGGCGGTGGGCATGTGCAGCACGTGGAGACGGGGGAGGATTAGCACGTACAGATGAGCATCCCTAAGGGTTTGAAACGCGACTTCAGTGCAGCCCATTCATCTTCACGATTTCCCAACTCAATTCAGCTCAATTCAGCTCAATTCAGCTCAATCCAGTCAGCTCAATTCAGCTCAATTCAGCTCAATCCAGCTCAATCCAGCTGAATTCAGCTCAATTCAGCTCAATTCAGCCCAATTCAGCTCAATTCAGCTCAATCCAGTCAGCTCAATTCAGCTCAATTCAGCTCAATCCAGCTGAATTCAGCTCAATTCAGCTCAATTCAGCCCAATTCAGCCCACTTCAGCCCAATTCAGCTCAATTCACTCAATTCAGCTTAATTCAGCTCAATTCAGCTTAATCCAGCTCAGTTTAGCCCAAAACAAAATGAACGTGACGGCGGGGAGAAAAAACAGTCCAGTCCATTCATCTAAAAAATCTCCCAGCTCAATTCAGTCCATTCATCCCTGCAATGAATCTGCTCGTCCCATATCAACCAACTCACCCGCCTCACCACCTATGGCGCGCGAAACACGAGCCGGGTAGCTGCCTGCCGGCTCGGCTCGGTGCACCTCAAAACAAGCAGGCTCGGCTTGGAGCTACGCTCATGCCTAGTGTGTGACTGACCCTCGACTGGGAACCCTGTGAATTAATTTAAAATAGGGTGTGAACGCTTTGCGTCTGGGTGTTCCGGCCTCATCCATACCCGTTGGCTAGGCAGATCAGCACGAGAGGCTCATGTGGAGGCGAGTCGAGTCGACTCATCGTACAGGTAGCATTACATTAGTCAACCGACTGAAGCAAACTCTAGTGGCTCGTTGCACGCCAGTTCCTCCCAATAGCAAAGTCGAAGCTGACGTGCACGTCAGAATACTCGCCTCGAGACAGCCGAACCAAGGCAAGATGTGGACTCTCGAGACGGGAAAAGCGTCGACCACTCCACTCCACTCTACGCGGGCTTGACTAAACTCGCCTCATCCTCATTTGCACCCAAGCCCATCCAACCTCACCCACATCACATCCAACGTCACCCACATCACGTCCAGTGCCAGTGATTAGATTCGACTCATCTTCATCTACTCACCGACTATTCTGTCGACCACTTGCTGCTGCAGGCGAAGGTAGTCCCCCACCAGCACACCGGGCACATCCCCATCCACACGCCATGTCACTGAACACGCACTCACATGCACACGCAGAAAAATCCAGGCCATTAGAAAAGCAAGAATCCACCAATTGCATGAAGAGAAACGCAAGCAGAATCAGGCAATCATGACATGGGCATAAACAACAGGCATCCTTTGTTGAAGGATCAAAAGGAAAAAGGGGAGCCAGCTCTTCGGAGAGAAAAGAAAGCAGGAACTGGTAATCAAGACACGGGTTGGAGAAAGGTGAATCAGGGTGATTACATTCGAGGCCGCGCTCCTGAGCAGCCTGCTCGTGTGGGAGCAGCACGTCACGCAGCCAGGGGCGGAGGGCAAAGGGCAGGCTCTCCAGGTGCAGGCGGCCGGCCTCCGCCTTGCACACGTCCAGCACGGCGTTGACGAGCCTCAGGATGCGCTCCGCCTCCTCCACTGCTGCCCCCACGTCCCCCCTCTGCCCCCCGTCCAGCCCTCCTTCGTCCAGCTGCTTGAGCATGCCTGCCGGGTGGTTGTGGTTGGCACAGCGAGTGGGAATTCGCAGAGATTGGAATGTGAAGAGTACAACACAGTGATTGTGCAATCATCAGCTGAGAAAGGTTTGTAACAATCTCTACCTCACCCCAACAGGGACAGTGCCGCAGGAGCAGGGCAACATTGAAAGGTAAATAACAAAAACAAAAGTACTTGTACGATCTGAGACTTATGCACCTCATTGCCACTAACCTTCCATGCCATTGCAGAAGTACTTGTACTTATGCACCTCATTGCCACGAACCTTCCATGCCATTGATGGGGGTGCGCAGCTCATGCGCTGTGCTGGCAATGAAGGCACTCTTGTTGCGCTCCGCCACCTCCGCGCTCTCCTTCAGCCTCTCCACAGCAGCCGTCTTCTCGCGCAGCCTGCGCGTGTTGATTGTCACGCTCACGGCAATGCCGGCCAGCAGCGCCGCCACCACCACGATGATCACCCCCAGGAACACAGCAGTCATGCTGCGGGCTTCGTCCGAGCCCTGAAAGCTGGGGGAGGGGATAGGGGAGGCGCATTGGGGGAAGAAGGAGCCGATGGCATGGAATGGAACAGAGGCTGGTAGCCGATGCTGTGGGCTTCATCTGAGCCCTGGAAGCTGGGAGGCACAATTTTGAGACGTCTCAAAAGTCGTTAGGGAAGGCACATTGGGGGCCGACGGAGCCGATGGAATGGAATGGAATGGAATGGAGGTTGACAGTACAGTGCAGCGTAGGCCGAGATTGGCTTTAAGTTGAATACGATATTATTGAACTAGAGCAGCGCACGTCAAGAAGCGAAGGAAGGGCAGCGCTTGCCATGGAAGCAAGGCAACTGACCGGCACCATAGCTGATATGTTCTTAATGAGTCAGTGAGGTTGATCTAGTGCACCACCATAGTCAGTGAGGTTGATCTGGTGCACCACCATAGTCAGTGAGGTTGATCTGGTGCACCACCATAGTCAGTGAGGTTGATCTGGTGCACCACCATAGTCAGTGAGGTTGATCTGGTGCACCACCATAGTCAGTGAGGTTGATCTGGTGCACCACCATAGTCAGTGAGGTTGATCTGGTGCACCACCATAGTCAGTGAGGTTGATCTGGTGCACCACCATAGTCAGTGAGGTTGATCTGGTGCACCACCATAGTCAGTGAGGTTGATCTGGTGCACCACCTTGTGTCTCTGCGGCTGCAGCATGGTCTCGTTGGACGGCGGAATGAGCTTGGCCACTTGCATGAAGCTGCCTTGAGGCAAGTCCCCCACCCCGTACAGCAGGCGCGGGCCCAGCGGGGTGGAGGAGTTGGGGAGAAGATCCGTGGGGGTGACGTCATACACCTCCAGAGAATAGTCCGCGCCTGCAGCAACGGAAGGGGGATACTGTGATTTGGTGAGAGCGTGGAGGTATAGTTGATTTATTATGTGAACAGCACCCTGCAGCAAGCATGTGGGGGGTACAGCAGCACGCAGGCAGACTGGCCGTCAGAGAACTGAAGGGGAGTACTCCCTCTCTGCCTGCGCAGGGGCAACAAAAGGCTGCAACAACGATGAAGACGGCAAGGCTGTGTGCCGTGTGCCATTGTGGTCCCGAGGTGACTGTTGGGTCGACTCAGAAGTCACTCGGTTGATCAGCCGGCGTACCTAGGCGGAGCACTTGAAGAAAGATTAAGTTGGCGAGGCGGTTGAAGTCGAGTTTCGAGGCGGTTGAAGTCGAGTTTCGAGGCGGTTGAAGTCGAGTTTCGAGGCGGTTGAAGTCGAGTTTCGAGGCGGTTGAAGTCGAGTTTCGAGGCGGTTGAAGTCGAGTTGCGAGGCGGTTGAAGTCGAGTTGCGAGGCGGTTGAAGTCGAGTTGCGAGGCGGTTGAAGTCGAGTTGCGAGGCGGTTGAAGTCGAGTTTCGAGGCGGTTGAAGTTGAGTTTCGAGGCGGTTGAAGTCGAGTTTCGAGGCGGTTGAAGTCGAGTTTCGAGGCGGTTGAAGTCGAGTTTCGAGGCGGTTGAAGTCGAGTTTCGAGGCGGTTGAAGTCGAGTTTCGAGGCGGTTGAAGTCGAGTTTCGAGGCGGTTGAAGTCGAGTTTCGAGGCGGTTGAAGTCGAGTTTCGAGGCGGTTGAAGTCGAGTTTCGAGGCGGTTGAAGTCGAGTTTCGAGGCGGTTGAAGTCGAGTTTCGAGGCGGTTGAAGTCGAGTTTCGAGGCGGTTGAAGTGAGTTTCGAGGCGGTTGAAGTCGAGTTTCGAGGCGGTTGAAGTCGAGTTTCGAGGCGGTTGAAGTCGAGTTTCGAGGCGGTTGAAGTCGAGTTTCGAGGCGGTTGAAGTCGAGTTTCGAGGCGGTTGAAGTCGAGTTTCGAGGCGGTTGAAGTCGAGTTTCGAGGCGGTTGAAGTCGAGTTTCGAGGCGGTTGAAGTCGAGTTTCGAGGCGGTTGAAGTCGAGTTTCGAGGCGGTTGAAGTCGAGTTTCGAGGCGGTTGAAGTCGAGTTTCGAGGCGGTTGAAGTCGAGTTTCGAGGCGGTTGAAGTCGAGTTTCGAGGCGGTTGAAGTCGAGTTTCGAGGCGGTTGAAGTCGAGTTTCGAGGCGGTTGAAATCGAGTTTCGAGGCGGTTGAAGTCGAGTTTCGAGGTGGTTGAAGTCGAGTTTCGAGGCGGTTGAAGTCGAGTTTCGAGGCGGTTGAAGTCGAGTTTCGAGGCGGTTGAAGTCGAGTTTCGAGGCAGTTGAAGTCGAGTTTCGAGGCATCTCAAAGCTTTGGCATCGCCAGTCAGTCGGGATAGCTGTTGTGTTGAGCAGGTAGGCGGGCGAGCGTACCTTGGCGGAGCACTTCCAGAATGATGAAGTCGGCGAGGCGGCTAAAGTCCACGGATGCCGCCACGACACCTATGAGTGCAGCCTGCCTGTCTTGCAAGGGCGATGCTGCCGTCACGCTACCCTTGAAGATCGGGAACACCATGCCTGGATGATTCGAAGAGAATTTGGATCAACATTAGGTGAAATGGACGACCGAGTGCAAAGCAAAATGAAGGGGGGGGGGGGGGGGGGGGGTAGAAACAGAGAAAATGACAAAGAAAAGGGAGAGAGGGAGGAGCACGAGGGGGAGACAAGCGGCAGCATGCTTGAGATGAGCCCAGTTCACGCCCCTGCCCGCTCACCCATGCCTGGATGGCCATTGGAGAGCACATAGGGCGTGGTGAGCATCTTCTCAGCAGTCTCCTTCACGCGGGTCAGCTGCGGGCCATACGAGGGGTTCAGGCGGCCGTCCAGGCACTGCGAGTAGCCAACAGTGAGGGCCAAGGGGAACTGGCTGTCGAACCACACGCGCACGTCCATGTACCAGTTCGCGGGCGGGCTGCGGCGCCATAGAAGGTCCACCAGCTCGCACCCCATGCGCCGCTCAAAGGTTGCCCTGGCGGGGAGATGGAGGGAGATGGGGGGAGATGGCGGGAGATGGGGGGAGATGGCGGGAGACGAGAGCATGCGACAAGGAGAGGGGGAGCACATGGGATGGGGTGGCTTTGAGATGGGCAACGCAATGCACAAACAGTTCATAGGCGCTCATCATAACCATGCGGTGCTGAAAGGTTGCCCTGCAGGCTGTGGGGGAAGCGACAGAGGGAGGGAAACCATAGAAGCAACGAGGGCTTATCACTCGTATTATGGATGTAGTATGGGTCATGTTACGCACTCACACTTGGCCAACTAAGGTTAACCTTAATAGGCTGAGCTACACCCTTGGCCATTCCTCTACACGATTAGGATTATAACTCACCAATGGGATGTCAACAAGCTGAGTGTGTTGTATCTTCCTTGTTCCGTGCGTCTACCTTAACTGCTGCCATGTTGATCCCGCTAGCCAGAACGCGCTCTCGCCTTCTCACCAAGGTATGATCAGCATGGTTGCAGTAGCTGACACCAAGGTACGTTGAACATGGTTCCTGTAATTGGATGCACGCATGCACTCTCGCCTACTCACCCGAGTGAAACGATGGCGGGGTCAGAAGCACAAAAGCACAATGCTCTGCCCAGCCCAGCTCGCCAACCAGGTGGGGAGCTGCCCAGCCCAGCTCGCCAACCAGGTGGGGAGCTGCTACTTAAGCGTGCATGAGCATGGACCCAAGCTCTCCTCCTAAATCGGATCATCAACAGGTCACGCCAAGGCGCCAGTGGTGACAAGGGCAGTCCAGGAATGGGCGCACTTGTAATTCTTCTGAAGGTTTTTTCTAAAAGCCTAAGTAGCATGAAATTGAGTCACCTTAAGAAGAGGACGCACCTGTCGGAGCCATTGACGAAGGCGATGCAGGCGATTGCATGCACCCAGGCCAGGGGCGGACGGGACATGTGCGCCTTCTGAGGCGCCTCAGAAGTGGCCTCTCTACCCGAGAGAAAGACGCACCTGTCGGAGCCGTTGACGAAGGCCGTGTAGGCAATGGCGTGCGTGCACCCAGGGGCGGACCGGACGTGTGCAAAAGACGTACCTTTTGAGGCGCCTCAGAAGTTGTCGTACCTGTCGGAGCCGTTGACAAAGGCCATGTAGGCAATGGCGTGCACCCAGGGGCGGGCAAACTGGGTGCGCACGATGTAGTTGGCGAAGCACCGCTGAGTGAGGTTGCTGTGCACCGCCCATGGGTCCTCCTGCACCCTCCCAAACACTGTCGCTAACCCTTCCACTGTCTGGTGCATGCACGGGTGGGTTGGGATGGGTGGAGTGGGATGGACGGGTGGGTTGGACTATGCGAAGTGGTTGGGTGCGCCTGTGAGTGAGGTTGCTGTGCACCGCCCATGGGTCCTCCTGTATCCTCCCAAACACCAACGCCAGCCCCTCCACTGTCTTGTGCATGCATGCACGGGTGGGTGGGTTAGGATGGGTGGAGTGGGTTGGGATGGGTGGAGTGGGATGGACGGGTGAGATGGACTATGTGGAGTGTGGTTGAGTGCGCCTCTGAGTGAGGTTGCTGTTCACCGCCCATGCGTCCCCCTGTATCCTCCCAAACACCATCGCTACCTCCTCCACTGTCTGATGCACATGGGGTGCGTGGAGACAGATGCGCAGGTTCTCCTGCAGTTTCCCCAATGCCGCCAGAACTGATATTACCTGATGCGTGCAGGCGTGGAGGGAATGGTGGGCGGGGATGGGGTAGCCAGGCTAGATAACAGGAGTTGAGATGGGTGGGTGGGGTTGAATTTGTGACCTGTGTTGCAATATACGCAACTGGTAGCCAGTCGCGTTCATACTATACGCCAACGTACGAACGTCGTACGATGGATTTCCGCCCCCACGATACGCTCAAAATACGGTGTCCCAGGCAGGGGAAAAAAAGTTCCGGGCAGCGGAAAAAGTGTCAGGGAGTGAGTGTTGGTCCCTATATTCAATGTTTCATGCAGATCTGCACTGAACTGCTGGCGGAATACTAGAATCGCGCGGAACTGGCGGCGGAATGGGTGGGGACGGATGGGTGGGGACGGATGGGTGGGGACGGATGGGTGGGGACGGATGGGTGGGGACGGATGGGTGGGGACGTATGGGTGGGGACGGATGGGTGGGGACGGATGGGTGAGGAGGGATGGGTGGGGACGGATGGGTGAGGAGGGATGGGTGTGGAGGGATGGGTGAGGATGGATGGGTGAGGATGAATGGGTGAGGTTGGATGAGTGAAGATGGATGGGTGAGGAGGCAGGCAGGGGTGGGAGCTGGAACTGACTAACGCTCAATACGCCAAACAACAAGCGCCTTGACGCTCGACGCTCGATACAAGGGGAAGGCGGGAGGAAGGGGGATGAGGGGGGGGGGGGGGGGGGGGGTAGAAGAGAAACGCTCACAAAAAAAGTCATTACAGTACTACTGTTTTAGGCGCGTCGACTTTGGGGTTCAAGCTTGTGACGCAAATGGCAGTGTACCGACTCCTGGCTCACACGGTGAAAGGCATCTTCTGCGCCTCCAAAGCTATGTTGGGTTAGACCCCTTGGCAAATAATTTAGGCAACTTAAAAAACAATCATGTAAAAACGGCGCGCGATTTCAGCGCCAAATTACATCCCGTAAAAATCCCATGCGTATAGGTGTGTTTTTTATTTCCTCCGTCACTTTAACCATCTAGTCAACCCAACTTTAACGAACCCAATTTGAAGTGACAACCAGATTGCAGTCGTGGATCTCCCATTCTCAATCTCCTCAGGCAGCTAGTTCAGCCACAGAAACCTTAGAAGCTGTCCGTACTCCGTACGCTTCCCCTGGACGCAATATTAACTTACAATGTGCGTCTTCCTTGGAAGACTGATGAAACCCCCGTTTTGGCCCGTGGTAAGGCGGGTCCCCTAAGTTCGGATTCCAGACTGGTCACATTTTCCGCCCGACCAAGTAGTGGTCGTAGCGAGAACTCGAATGCAATAATCCAGTTTCGAATCATCCGCCGCTGGCCTGCCCACCAGCAAAGTCGACGTCCTTGCGGGTCCGACTTTCTGAAACCACGAGGACGGTGGCACCATGGGGGGAACTGTCAACGCCCGCCGCCCGTGGGGATCGTCTGCGCCTTCGAAAAACGTCCATTTTGAACTGGTGGTAGCGAGCGTTATAAGCAGGATCGCAACCCCGTTCTATTCCCCGCGCCGATCTGAGCTGTGCTGAGCGCAGCGGCGCTTCCTGGGCCTGGTAGCGACTCGACGCGCTCCTGCGCCCATCGGGGGACTCGCTCACACGGCTCGGCGCGCCTTTCAATGGACTTTGCACGAAGCGCGCAACGGTGGCGCGCGGTGTTGCTGCGTGAATCCCAGTGGCGTTCGTCAAACGAGGCGCGCGACGGGTGCACATATGCGGCGTCGTACACTCGACCCGGAGCGACTCTCACGCTGCGACGACTCGGCCCAGCGGAACGATTTTCGGCCCAGCGCCCGGAAAATTGTAGCTTCTACGGCCATCACAATCTTCCGGTCTGGATTTCAGCTGGTTTCCAGCCAGAGTTCAAGACTCGCGGCGGAAATCTGACTGAAAACCAGGGTCGATTTCCACCTGAACACATGGCACTAACGTGACTGGTTTTCTCGTGGATTGCAGGCCATATCATAGGATGGGTTCAGGGGTTCGGTTCAGCCTGCGCTCCAGCTGGTAACTGACCGAAATGGGTGTGGTGGTAACGCCACATTCCGCGTCGGAATCGCGCCTCGGGGCTAATAAATGTAATAATGTACACAATTCGTTTTTTGTATAGTAGTTTTTATTAAATCTATGTTCGATATAAATATTTGTGTTGTGCTGATTTCTCAATTCGTTTTACAATTGTTTTTTAATTGTTTTTCATATAATAGTTCAGCTGTTATTACTGTTGCTGTTGCTGTTATAATTGTTCTGCCCATATAATTTTTAATATCAGAACACAGAAACTAGTATTGCCCATATTACTGCTTTAAGGATCGGTGCATTTATTACCATTCTTATTAACCAGAAATTCAAACAGGCAATAGTGCAGGGTAATCCGACGCATCAATACGGACCCCGTTTTCGAACACCCACGCGTTTGTTGTCGCATCATGCGTGACGCCCAGCACATTTACAGAGTGCTCCACCCAACGTCGAACCCTGATGCACATTAGCTCGAACAACCTGCGGTTTTCACGCTGGTCCGTGCCCAGCTTGCCATCCCCTGCTGCCTCCAACAGTGGGTTCTCGAGCTGAACACAGGAACAAGGCGAAACATCATTAACATGTTGATATTGAAACCTAACCGTTGGATATAATGAAAAAACACTTACTGAAAACAAGGCGAAAGCCACCATGCGTGTCTTCCACGCTGTGACATCGACGCGGCGCCTTCGAAAAGCCTTGCTCATGGCGATCGCAAACAATTTCGTGGAGAATGGGTGCTGCGTGATCTGGTCAACATGCCATTTCAGCCCCCACTCATCTGCCAGAGCATGTGACAGACGAGGGGACAGAGAAGGGGACAGAGCATGTGATAGAGGAGGTGAGAGCACGGGAAGGGACAGCGCAGGAGGGGAGAGCATGGGAGGAGACAGAGCAGGAGGGGAGAGCAAGGGAGGGGACAGAGCAGGAGGGGAGAGCAAGGGAAGGACAGATCAGGAGGTAAAAGCACGGGATGGGACAGAGCAGGAGGGGAGAGCACGGGAGTGGTCAGAGCAGGAGGGGACAGAGCATGTGACAGAGGAGGGGACAGAGCATGTGACAGAGGAGGGGACAGAATGTGACAGAGGAGGGGACAAAATGTGACAGAGGAGGGGACAGAGCATGTGACAGAGGAGGGGACAGAGCATGTGACAGAGGAGGGGACAGAGCATGTGACAGAAGGAAGGAAGAGAGCATGTCACAGAGGAGGGGAGAGAGCATGTGACAGAGGAGGGGGGGAGAGAGCATGTGACAGAGGAGGGGGGGAGAGAGCATGTGACAGAGGAGGGGGGGAGAGAGCATGTGACAGAGGAGGGGGGGAGAGAGCAAGGGTTAGGAGCTCACCAGTCATGTTGTCCCGGACCAGTTCGGCATCGTTCTGATACACCGCCAGACGATCCAACTCCGCCGGGAGGGACATCACCTTCCCCTTGTTTTTCTCCCGCCCCAATGCAGTTAGAACCAATCGACGGAGTATTTTGCCAATTGCACACCGGGTATTGCTGCATGCTGTATAGAATGCCCCCTTTGTTGTTGGGCATTGTTGTTTCCACAGCAGTTGCAAGTGGGGCATGGTATCAGGGGACAGATAAGTAGATAACCCAGCCATCGCCTCTTCACTCGAAGGATACATCTGGATGTGAAGAGCGTCGTTCAGCCAGAAGAACTCGGTGATGACACTCCGGCACTTCACCTGCCAGGAAAAAAATGTATGAGTAGATGGAAGGGTGGGGCAACACAAAATGTACGTGGTGGAGACCACTACGGGGCATGGCATGGTGAGTGCAGAGGAGCAGCGAGACAAGGCAGGAAGGGAGAGCACTGGAGGGGACAGAGCAGGAGAGGAGCGCACAGGAAGGGACAGAGCAGGAGTGGCAAATCAACGGGGAACAGAGCTGGTGGGAAGACTGCATGAGGGAATAGAGCATGGGAGGAAAGGGCAGCAAGGGTTTACACTCACCTTCCAGTCTCCAGCATCGACGATCACCATTTCCAGAGCGATTTGTCCGGCACTCTGACTTGGAGGGCGAGGAACGCCTGTTGTTGCGTCGTTGCCCTGCGACGCAAGTCCTTGAGCAGGAACCGCGACTCCTTGAGCCCTGAGGCTCTCAAACTGTTGGAGCATCTCCTTCCTAAGCGCCGCAAACTCCGCTCGTGATACCCACTGCGTGTGCGCCACCCTGGTTGATACGGCAGCCAAAGCCGTGGGCCCTGGAGGCGGCGTCCTTACAGTAGTGGTACCCCTGGGCCTGAAAACTCCAGTAGATGCTGCTGCTGCTCCCACCCTCCCTCCAGTCGATGCCGCTGCTCCTCCCACCCTCCCTCCAGTCGATGCCGCTGCTCCTCCCACCCTCCCTCCGGTCGATGCTGCTGCTCCTCCCACCCTCCCTCCAGTCGATGCCGCTGCTCCTCCCACCCTCCCTCCAGTCGATGCCGCTGCTCCTCCCACCCTCCCTCCAGTCGATGCCGCTACTCCTCCCACCCTCCCTCCAGTCGATGCCGCTGCTCCTCCCACCCTCCCTCCAGTCGATGCTGCTGCTCCTCCCACCCTCCCTCCAGTCGATGCCGCTGCTCCTCCCACCCTCCCTCCAGTCGATGCCGCTGCTGCTCCCACCCTCCCTCCAGTCGATGCCGCTGCTGCTCCCACCCTCCCTCCAGTCGATGCCGCTGCTCCTCCCACCCTCCCTCCAGTCGATGCCGCTGCTGCTCCCACCCTCCCTCCAGTCGATGCCGCTGCTGCTCCTCCCACCCTCACCCCAGTTGATGCTGCTACTGCTCCCACCCTCCCTCCCGTTGACGCTGCTGCTGCTCCCACCTTCACCCCAGTTGATGCTGCTGCTGCTCCCACCCTCCCTCCCGTTGACGCTGCTCCTCCCACCCTCGCAACAGTCATACCCGCAGGAGCTGCTGCTGCTCCCACTTGCATCGCACTAGTAGTTGCCCGCTGGGTGACCTGTAGCTGGGGCAGCTTCCCCCCTCCCCCCCCAAGGTTGAATCGCTCGATGGTGGTTGGCGGACCCACACCAGAATTCTTCACCGCTGATTGGTGTAGGGTGAGAGCAAGATGGGACGGGTTAGGATGGGATAGCGCATGAGGGGACAGGTCAGGACGGTTCAGGGAAGCTAGTTGGGAATATTCATGGGACAACGGGAGTATTGACAGAGACGGATGGGAAAAAGCAAGGCGGGTCAGAACGAAGGGTTACAGGGCTGGAGGGCAAAAAATGGATGACTTACGCTTTTTGGGCTTAGGTTTTGTCTTTGTCTTCCCCTCCGTTGCTTCACCTTTACCCTTTGGAAGGGGTTTAGTGCTGGCCTTCTTACTCCTGTGCTTCGTGGGTGGCTTCGCCGCCGCCAATGCCCCTTTCACGGTCTGCCCTCCTTGTTTATCCTTTGCTTCTCCGCCACGCCCGTTACCGCACTGTTGCGTATCATCCGGTGCGGCCCCCAGAATCATAAACCGCCCTTTCTTCACCACTCGTGCAGCTTCTTCATCCTCATCCAGCGTCGACCTGCGGCTAAGTGCTTGTACGCGTGTCCGCCGCCCATTAGTTCTCTCCTCTGCACTAAAATTGGAGTAATCGGACAAGCCTTCGCCCACATTGTTGCCATCTGCCTGGACCCCATCCGCCTCCTCTCCTTCTGCCTGCTCGCCTTCCACCTCCTCTCCAGCCCCATCTACAGCCCCTACGCTTTCCCCCTCTTCGCCTTCCCCCTCTTCGCCTTCCCCCTCTTCGCCTTCCCCCTCTTCGCCTTCCCCCTCTTCGCCTCCCCCCTCCTCGCCTTCCCCCTCTTCGCCTTCCCCCTCCTCGCCTTCCCCCTCTTCGCCTTCCCCCTCCTCGCCTTCCCCCTCTTCGCCTTCCCCCTCCTCGCCTTCCCCCTCTTCGCCTTCCCCCTCCTCGCCTTCCCCCTCTTCGCCTTCCCCCTCTTCGCCTTCCCCCTCTTCGCCATCCCACTCCCCACCTTCCGCCCCTTCGCCTTCCGCCTCCTCGCCAACAGCTCCTACGCCTTCCGCCTCTCCGCCTTCCGCCCCTTCACCTTCCCCCTCCTCGCCTTCCCCTGTCAGTAGATCTGCACTGTGGATGCCCGATTGATCCTGGAGAGGGTTACAGGCGCATTCGCCTGGGGGGCCATGGGCGCACTGACCCGCTACTGAAACAAGCTCTTTTATCCCAATGGTCTAGTGGTTGGGATTCTGACATGGTATCAGAGCGGTCTCGGGTTCGATTCCCGGTGTATGCACATGTAGGCCGTTGCCGCTGCGCTTAGTCCTGGGCCTCCCAGTGTGGGGGGCTGTCAGTAGATCTGCACTGTGGATGCCCGATTGATCCTGGAGAGGGTTACAGGCGCGTTCGTCTGGGGGGTTATGGGCGCACTGACCCGCTACTGAAATAAGCCCTTCTATCCCAATGAGCTAGTGACTGGGATTCTTACATGGTGTCAGAGTGGTCTCGGGTTCGAATCCCGGTGTATGCACATGTAGGCCGTTGCCGCTGTGCTCAGTCCTGGGCCTCCCAGTGTGGGGGGGTGTCAGTAGATCTGCACTGTGGATGCCCGATTGATCCTACGGGGGGTTATAGGCGCGTTTTCCTGGGGGGTTATGGGCGCACTCTGACCCGCTACTTAACAAGCCCTTTTATCCCAATGGTCTAGTGGTTGGGATTCTGACATGGTATTAGAGCGGTCTCGGGTTCGATTCCCGGTGTATGCACATGTAGGCCGTTGCCGCTGTGCTTAGTCCAAGGCCTCCCAGTGTGGGGGGGTGTCAGTAGATCTGCACTGTGGATGCCCGATTGATCCTGGAGAGGGTTACAGGCGCATTCGCCTGGGGGGTTATGGGCGCACTGACCCGCTACTGAAACAAGCTCTTTTATCCCAATGGTCTAGTGGTTGGGATTCTGACATCCCCCTCCCCGCCTTCGTCCGCTTCGCCTTCGTCCGCTTCGCCTTCGTCCGCTTCGCCTTCGTCCGCTTCCCCTTCGTCCGCTTCGCCTTCGTCCGCGTCGCCTTCGTCCGATTCGCTTTCGTCCGCTTCGCCTTCGTCCGATTCGCCTTCGTCCGCTTCGTCTTCGTCCGATTCGCCTTCGTCCGCTTCGCCGTCGTCCGCTTCCCTTTCGTCCGCTTCCCCTTCGTCCGCTTCCCCTTCGTCCGCTTCGCCTCCGTCCGCTTCGCCTTTGTCCGCTTCACCAACCACCTTCTCGCCCTACGTCTCGTCGCGATATGAACCGTCATCATTCGCCACACCAAACACCGCCTGTTCACCGTGCGCCACATTATCGACCGCATAGCCGTTCGGATCGGCGGACGTTTCCGTACCGTCGTCATTCTCACCTAGAATGTCCGCGCTGAAGCCATCTGGGAGCTTGCGCCGTTCCTCGGTGGCGCATTGTGCTTTCTTACCACCTCTCTTTCGACGCCCACGGCCTTTTTTTGCGTTCGCCTGCTCTCCCGCCTGCTCACCCTTACGGCCTTGGGAGATGGTTGGCTGCGACATTGCTGAGATGCAAAGGGCTGTAAGTGAAGGCGTTTGTTAGTAGTCAAAGTTTTGAGCAAGTACTACAAGCTCGAACCAAAACATCGCCTATAAACAGATCATGGTGCACCGCTCTTCGCACCTCGACGCTTGGTAGCCAGGTATCGGAGTAGCCGTCGAACAAGATTCGTGCGCTACGCTCGTATCGTGCCCAGCGTGACAGCACCCCGACCACCACGGTTCGTGTGAGAATAGTAGAACAGGAATGAAATGACTAAGTGAACGTTTGGTACAAATACAAACCCTAGAGAGCTGTACCCCATATGTGCTACCCCACTATAGCCTACAACAGCTATGTCATATATATCTGACACACCCCCATAGGCAAAGTGGGGGAGAACAAGGGGTCACAAGACCAGTCAAGCAAAGTAAAACAAAGCAAGCTCAGGGTGGATCACAAAGTCACCACACAGTCCGAGCACAAGAGCAGGGCCAGAGGCCAGTTCACATGCAGGAGTACAGACATATATATATAAAACTAGACAAGCAAGAGCAGGTATATATATGTCACAGTACAAGTAAAGTCAAGAGGAGAGCAAGTGAGGCAAGACAGGCACAAGACCCAGCTGGGTGCAGAAGCGCTGATGGTCACAAGGCGCGAGTGCCTTGGTGAACACATCAGCAGTGTTGGCCTCAGAGGCCACGTAAGCAAGCCGCAACTGTCCACGCTGCTGTAGCTGACGAGCAAGGAAGTAACGAAGAGCAATGTGCTTCGTTCTGTGCTCCAGACGCTGCTCTCGACACAAGGCCAGCATGGCCTTGTTGTCTACGTACAGATTTGGAGGAGAACGAGGCGGCTCTCCAAGGTCAGTCAGCAGGTAGGTGAGCCAGCGAAGCTCCTGTGCAGCCATGGCCCCGGCGTAGATCTCAGCCTCACAACTGGAGCTGAGAACCGAAGACGAACGAGTAGCCCGCCACGAGACAGAGCCGGAACCAAGACTGAAGGTGTAACCCTGTGACGACCGTTGCGTAGCCTGGTCGTCAGCCCAAGAAGCGTCAGCGTGGCCTGTAAGGACCACTGGACTCCGCCCTCCAAGCACTAGCCCCATGCCAGACGTACTGCACAGGTAGCGCAATACCCTCTTCGCTGCAGCCATGTGCTCTAGTCGGTGTCTCCCAGGAGCAACATAGCGTGCAAGAATGCTCAGTGGGTATGCAAGGTCAGGTCGTGTGCAGGTCATCAGGTACATGAGGCAGCCAACAAGCTCTGGGTACGGGCCACTCGACTCTAAGGACTCATCCGAAGGCAGAGCTGAGAGCGAGTGACGAGTAGACAGAGGAGTGGCCTGAGGCGAGGAGTACGTGAAGCCGAAGCGCTGAAGGACCTGCTGCACCATGTGTGACTGAGTCAAGGTAATGGTGCGGCGTGCTCTGTCCCGAGTGATCTGCAAGCCAAGGTAGCTGCGCAGTTCACCCAGGTCTGTGCACGTGTGTCTCTTCAGCAGCTCGGACTTCACGTAGGCGAGTCCAGCAGTGTCCGCTGTGGCAAAGACCAAGTCGTCGACGTACACGAGGATGTAGAACGGCGGCAGTGAAGTGTCGGTGCCCAGAAACAGCGACGGGTCAGCAGTAGAAGGAGCAAACCCAAGAGCCGCAAGCGTAGTCCTCAGTGTGTCGTGCCACTCACGCGGTGCCTGGCGGAGACCGTAGACTGGCCGTCGAAGGCTCCACTGGGTGCCAGGAGGAAAAGTCCCAGTGAAGCCAGGTGGACGGCGCAGCCAGATCTCCTCGTGCAGGCTACCCTGCAGGAACGCAGTGCTGAAGTCGAGAGAGTGAAGCTCGTAGTCGCGCTGAGCGGCTATGTGCAGCAGCACCCGAAGAGTGGTCATCTTCGGGGTGGGAGAGAAGGTCTGAAAGTAGTCAACTCCCTGCCGCTGACTGAAGCCACGAGCAACGTACCGCGCCTTGAAGACAGGTGGAGAGCCCGGCGGCCGCTTCACCCTGAAGATCCACATGCCACTGACGATGTTCGCCCCAGGAGGGGGAACTGCGTCAACGTAGGTGCCTGTGGACTTCCAGGAAGCCATCTCTGCATCCATAGCTGCCTGCCACTGAGAGGAGTAGGGACCCTCTACGGCCTCCGCGTAAGAGCGCGGAGTCGGGATGTCTAGTGCATCGGGGTCTCCCTCAGGAGCAAGTCGTACAGACGCGAGATGAGGTGAAGCAGTCGCCAGACACTCTAACTCCTCCTGCCTGTCCTCTAGGACGTCCGTGCCAAGGGCACACTCACCCCCGACGGACGGAGGACAGACAGACGCAGACTCAGCAACAAGACTAGCAGCGTAGTCTAGACGACAGCGAGCAGCAAAGTCAACGAGCTCAGCGACAAGAGCAGACGCAGCAGTGGACTCAAAAGAGGGGTCAGTGACGACAGTAGCTAGCAGACGCGTGACAGTAGGACTGGCAGCACGAAGGGAGTCCGACTCAGGGTCGGCAAGCGCAGGAAGAGAGGACTCAGAAGGAGAAGGCAAAGGGGCACGCAGAGGAGCAGTGGACGGACGCAGAGACATCCGGTGCGTGCCAGGGACAGGAGGAGGACGCTGACGCGAACCGCGACCACTAGCGCGAGCAGGACGAACAGGCGACGCGGGACGAGACGCAGGCTCACGACGCTCAGCAAGACCTCCAGTAGGACCAGTGTAAGGAGAGGGAGCAGGCAGTGGAGAGGAAGGCTCCAACAGTGACTGCGACTGTACAGGCTGTGGACACTCTACCGGAGGAGAAAGACCAAGAACCTGCTGCAGGAGCGGAACGAAGTACGGCCGAGGCCGCGCGGCAGCTCCAGACACAGCAGGGACAGCACCAGCACCCCCAGCGACAGCACCAGCGCCACCAACACCTCCAGCGGCAGGACCTCCAGCAGCACCAGCAGCAGAACCACCGCCAGGACAGACAGCAGTAGTCTCAGCACCAACACCCTCAGC